CTCCTGTTGAAAGTGATTCATCCTTGATGATCCTTGGTGGTATGCTGACATTACACTGGATACCCTTGCTCTTGATAATTACAAAGAATTGCTGTCTTGGTCATAGATGCACCAGTGGGATACTGTTGGAATATCAAGCCAATTCCATGCGTGTTCAATAAGAAAAGGTCTGGAGAGTGTTTTCTTCAATGCCGTAAATATTAGGAATTATTAGAAATTTATTAGATACAAATGAATAATTTAATGACAGCGCTCCGGGTTACGTTACCCCAATGCAATACAAGAATTACATTCAGGAGGTTCACAACTAATATACATTTCCTGACTCCAGCATATATACACAACTGATATTAATACGTGGAGTTTTGGTTTAGTCACTTATCAGTCATTCTGCAGTCCTTTGGCTCTTCTACCTCAGACATACTTCCTCATTCTGCATCCCCTCTCTGCATACCAGAACTTTTATGTGAATCTTTGATATATTTCACAACTTCTACAAGCATCATGACAACTTATGACATGTCCAGACAGCATTCTTGAACAAGGGCCCCCACCCTAAATTTATTCTTATTCTGCGATTTCCTCTGGTCAGCTGTTCCTCTAAAAGTATACAGCACGGTAAATAAGAGGAAGTGTGCCTGGTCAATAAGTGATCTAATACAAAAGAGAAAGATTGATTAATCTGTTGTTGGTCTAAACATTTTACTAATAAAAAATAAAGACACAAAAGTAATAAAAATAAATTCCTTTTTTCCCACAATACGCATCAACAATTTGTCCTCTTTTGAACTCTGATATGTCATCCATGTTGTGTGCATTCAAAGTTTTAACAGATTTTTATTTATGTTTTGATTGTGCTATCACTCTGCTAATTAAACCTTCACACTCTGCTCTTATGCTGCGGTCACACTACAGTTTTTGCGTGCGAAATTCTGTTCTATGGTGCTGCGAAAAGGGGCTGGATTAAACAAGATGATTAGACATTTAAAAAAAGCGAACAATTGGTCCATGTTTTAAATTTCTGTCCAGAGAAGTCATGTTTTGATCTTCTATTGGTCTCCCGCACACATGTGATGCGATTTCGCAGGTCAGAGCTCACCAAGCTTGAACTTTCCAATGCAGCGAACTACAAAAACTTGTCGCACAAGCTTGCATTTCTGGTCTGATGCATTTGCGTGCGTATAAATAGAAGTCTATAGGAAGAAAAGCGCAGTGTGACCACAGCTTTACTGGTGGAATGTGCAATCAATGAAGATTGGCAACCAGGCTGGTCAAATTTAAGCTATGGTCACACTAGAGTTTGAGCGGGGGCGGGATTAAACAAGTCGATTAGATATTTAAAAAGAGCAATTGCTCCATATTTTACATTTCTGTACAGACAGGTCATATTTTGATCTTCCATTGGTCTAACGCAAACACGGGATGTGATTTCACTGGTCAGAGATCCCCAAGCTTGAACTTTTAAATGCAGAGACATGTGAAACTTGTTGCACAAGCTTGCATTTCTGATCTGCTGCATTTGTATTTATATGAATGGAAGGGGTGAAAAATATTATGGCATTAGCCATGAAACCTCCAAGACTAAATTGGCCAATGTTACAGTTTCATTGTCCTATCACTGTATGATTTTAAGAGATTACGAATAGGACACAAAATTGATGCATTGCAAATCAAGCAATGATTCTGCATTTATTCTAAAAAGTTTCTGAATGTCTTGTGATTCTCTTTTGAATGGATTCTAAGCTTAGGTTTTACCACCAGATGGGGATTTATGCTTTACAAATAGCCACACTCATGTCTCCTATGCAATAAAAGCTGTGGTGCAAATACCACTTACAGTACATGACTAAAAGCACACTCACTCACTAAACGTGTACAATTGAAAACTAGCCTAGAGTATCATCTGCAGTTAAAATCTCAGAATCAAATACAGAGAGAATCACAATTGCATTTAATTTATTTTTAGATCAATCCATGATTCATAAAGCATTGATTTATTATCCCATCCCTACCTGCAATCATGTTTAAACCAATCAGAGGCCGACTTAGAATCTAAGTGTTTCCATAAGACTGTGCTGTATGCATCAGATGTTTAGCCAGAGGTCTGCGAGGAGTGTTTGGCATGATTTCTGAAGGCTGAGTTTTGTTGTGTTTAATTTAAGCAATAACATTGTACTAAAGATGGCCAAAAATATAATAAATCAAAAAATGTATTTAAGTTGCTGCAAGATTAGTTTTCGTGTAGTTTAAAAATGGTGTAACAAACCACAACACCACTACGAATAAACATTCATTCGTTCATTCACTTTCCTTCAGCTTTAGTTCCTGATTTGTCAGGGTTCGCCGTAGCGGAATAAACTGCTAACTTCAACAAAGATAACCTAATAATTATTTTATCCAACCCTGTTTAAAAAGCAAGCATAAATTGTAAAAGCAAAAAAAGTTCCGTTAGTAGAATTGTCTTTTGCTAAGCCGAACTCTGTCACGTTTACTTATTCGGGTCACTGAATGCTGCATGCGATCTGATGGATACACAGACATCCAAATCTGATTTCTGCTGCCAGTGATCACCCACGGGTCACGTTATTTTTTGATGAGCAATTTGTAGCATGAGTTTGAATGATAAACTCCATATAATCGCATTTGCAGTGTCTATTGAAATCGTGACTGTCTTGGATTACCTTCTGCCAGGTTCTGCATCTGTAATGGAAATACAGTGATGCGACGCCCAGTACATTAAAACCCTGTTGCATTCCTTAAAAAGCCAGTATCATCAGGCAGCATAAAATTCTGATGTGTCAATCATTTATATTTACACACTACACTGTCTTGTAGTGCCACAATGTAACGTAAATGTGTGCAGTAGAAAGGGTGATTAACACACATGCACGCGTACATCTATCTATCTATCTATCTATCTATCTATCTATCTATCTATCTATCTATCTATCTATCTATCTATCTATCTATCTATCTATCTATCTATCTATCTATCGGATATCCAGGAAACAGTTAAATGATACTTGAGGGGAAAAAAAAACCTATGCGCTTACCTTGGTTAGCTGTGCTATTTTCTTGCACATTTTCGTGTGCATTTGATAATCATACAATTCCTGTTCTACATTCACACTGGGGATGTCCGCAATAGCAGTCCCGTTGCATGCACCGCTGCCGCCGGGGGGATGGTTCATCTTACCAGAGCTGGAAGCCATAATAACCCGTTAGATCACGCTGATCAATCACAAACTGGGCTGCGCAACACCCTGGTCGTCTTTACGTGATCCTGAAGGTAGTGTCCTTACGACAGCCGAAAGCATTCTGCATGCTGCAGCGACCGGCGAACACCCCACCGCTCCGCCATGAAGCTGCTCCCGGTGAGCGCACAGCTCACAAAATAATGCCATCGGTGATCCACCACCCCGCGGGACACAACTCGCTGACGGCATGTGCCCCCAGTCCGGACACCTGTCTTTTACCCGGGGCGTGACTACCGTCTAACATTAGGAGTCACGGGTACTGCAGTGTAATCATGGCCCCTCCCCTGAACAGCAGCACGCGCAACAGCACAACAAACACAAGCACGCGCAGGTTCCACGCCTTATTTCGTTACAGTAACCACAGCTACTCGCATTCACATGATGTTTAAAGATTAAATCTTTTATAATAAACAAAAGTAACTGAGAACTGCAGTATGATCTAAATGAACGTAAAATAAATGCTTTCTTCTTTTTTTGAGTGTTCTCATTAAGCGTAAGGGTAGATTTACGTTTTCAAAGTGTTCTGGAACCTCCAAAGAGAGAACTAAAGTTCAATGAACAATTAAGTAATTTTTTACAAATAGCCTAAATAGCGTGAAAAGAAGAAGAAGCTCACAGCAAAAAGGATGCTGTTTGAGCCTCGGCTGGGTCAGTTGTCATTTCTGTGTGGAGTTTGCATGTTCTACCTGCGTTCGCGTGGGTTTCCTCCGGGTGCTCGTTTCCCCCACAGTGCAAAGATATGCGCTAGGTGAATTGGGTAAGCTAAATTGGCCGTAGTGTATGTGTGTGAATGAGTGTGTATGGATGTTTCCCAGATATGGGTTGCAGCTGGAAGCGCATCTGCTGTGTAGAACAAGTGCTGAATAAGTTGGCGATTCATTCCGCTGTGACGATCCCAGATTAATAAATGGACTTAAAAATAAGTCATTTTAATAAATAAACAAATTTTAGCATAAAAGAAACTAACAAATGAATGAAAGTAATTTTAATATAATAATTCTACAATAATAAATCAAATATTATTAAATATTCAAGTCAAATTAAATAATTAAATTATATTAAAAATAAATAATGAAATAAATACAAACTAAATTTAAACAAACAATTTATTTATTAATAATTAATTACAAAATAATAAAACACAATTAAATCAATACTATTTTAGTCTAAGATATAGAAAAGTCAAATTACATAAGTTAAATGCACTATAATGGGTATACAACTTATTAACATAGATTAATAGAATCAATATTTTCGAAATAACATTTTATACCCTTTTTAAATTTAAATTTTCTTGATATTTTTTGGTTTGTAAAAATTCAATACAAAAAAACCGAGATTTCTTTTACAACTTTGGGCGGTGGTCTCTCATACGAGTGTGATCATATTTGGTGGTCTGCATCTAAAAAAATCACAACGATGTGGTATTCTGGTTGTTATTAAAAAATAGTACACAAATACATCTATTGTGGGCAGTTCATTCCGCTGTGGCGACCCCGGATTAATAAAGGGACTAATCCGACAAGAAAGTGAATCCATTGTAAAAAAAAGTCCTGAGAATTGGACCTAGGAGGATTTCAACAGTGCCCTATAAACCTATAAACCCGTGTAGCAAGCCTATGAACGCCCTCTGGAGGAAACTCTGAGGTATTGTTTAGAAGGAGGAAACCTTCTGTTCATTGGATACAGCTTCCAGGCAGTTTTCCCCTAACGTCTCGCGAGAGCACGTTTTGAAAAGTGGCGCTTTCGTCGTTTTTCAACAGAGAAGTTTTCCAAGCCTTTTATGCAGGTATGACACGGTTTAAAGAGTTTTTCCTCCATTAAAACTTTTTGATAAGGATTTAATTGTTTCGCAGAGACTCTGACGACGACGACGTTATTGACGGTTTTTCAATGTGTTAACATTTAGGTGATGATTTAGCTTTCTTGTTTTTATGTTGTTGCTAACGTTAACTGTCGGAGCTCGGGGTGGAGTCGCTCATTTTTGCGTACAAACTGATATAGTGTGGGTTCACATATATCGTGTTCTGTCATAAATGCTGCCCCGTTTAATGAACAATTCTTTATTTAGATCAATAAAACTTTCACACGGGTCAAGGAAATATCAGGTAACACGTAAGTATGTTGTTCTGCCGAGCTAACGTTAACGGTATTTGACGTCTGCTGTGACCACAAAACTTTAACTTGTAAAGCGTGTTATTAACAGCCAACGCCAAAACAACTAACGTTAAACGTTAACGTTAAATAAATGTTTAAGTTAAACAGATGCCGTTCTTTGTGTTGCAGTTAAGTGTCTGTCTGAAATTGATGGTTGTTTTGGATGTGTACGCATAAGTTACGAAATATCACTGATTCACACTATAGTTGATAAAAGATTGAGGTAAAGTTATTTTTATATTGGGGCATTCGATTATTTCTGTACAGTGACAACTTTTGATACGGTCCCCATGTTGTTAACCACACTACTTTGGATATTCGCTCTGAAATCACATGTAAATATGACTTCAAAACAACATTAACACTATTTGATTGACTGAACAATGTTTTACTTAACGTTAGAGAGTCATTGGCTGCTTACCTGATTTACCTGTATTTATAATTTGCAAAGAATACTTTTCTGAAATGATATTATTAAGGAGAAAGTCTAAATGTGTGGATATAAAATCAATTGTACCCTAATGATATATTGCTGATGTATTTGTTTTTGTGTGTTAGTAATAACATCATGCCTGGAGACGCGGATCTGCAGATTGAAGAGGCTTTTCGGCGTGCACAGAAAGCTCATAACAATAAGGCCAAACTTGTTGCAAGTTTAAAGAACGGATATAATAAGGTACAGATTAATTTAGAAAAAAAAAAACGGGAACACTAAATTTATGTATGAATATGATAGAAACACATAATTTGTATTCAAAGACGATGCTGTAAGTTGACAGTGATTTAAAACTTTTAAAAAATTACAATAAATTAGTATAAATAATTGTTCTATGTACCTGCAATGTTTTGTTTGAACACAAAATCAGTATATAATTTTTTAAGAGCAATAGAAAACTGAAGAGTGGAGTAATGAAACACAATCCATTATTTAAAAAAATAATTGATTTAATATTGTCCTGTTTAATTTATTTTATACCATTTAAGCTATAACTGTATAAAATAAATGCATCTTTAATGAGATTTTACCAAACCAAAATATTTGAATGGGCTCACAGAATATTTTTAAGCATGCTGTCTAGCACTTTAAGCAATCCTCTGAATGCTAAATTTGAATTCTGTCTTGTGTTTAGCTGGAAGACAAAACCCAATTCCATGAGGAGTTTATACGTTGCCTGAAGTATGCCATGATTATTTACACTCGAGAGCCAGCAGTAGAGAATGTCATTGATTTTGTCACAAAGTTTGCTGCGAGTTTTGAAATCCCCGTTAATGAGGAGGCTGAGGAAGAGGAGGAGGAAGAAGAAGAGGACAATGAGTTTTTGAACTTTTTGTTCAATTTCCTTTTGGAGGTAATGCCACTAAACTGCATAATGTCATTAAAATGCAAAATGTTTGTCTACCTAACGTTTCCTTTTTATCTTCATATATTTCTCTCTCAGTCTCATGGTGCAAACAGCCATGCCGTGCGATTTCGAGTTTGTCAGCTGGTGAATAAATTGCTGGGCAGTCTGAGTGAAAACGCTCAGATCGACGATGATCTGTGTGATAGGATACATGAGGCCATGCTGGTCAGAGTCACAGACAAATACCCTAATGTCAGAATTCAGGCAGCACTGGCCATGGCCAGACTCCAGGACCCCACTAATTCGGATTGCCCAACTATTAAAGGTACTCAGAAATGTCTTACTAGAGCTCTTTCAAAAGGATATTGAGGTGCATCTTTCCCTGGCTAACATTTCAATACAATTGATTTATGAATTAAGTAATATAAATAAATAAATTTAATTCTGTTTGTCTATAGCTTATGTTCTGCTTTTGGAAAATGACTCAAACCCTGAGGTTCGTCGTGCTGTGCTGTCCTGCATTGCACCTTCCGCCGTCACACTTCCTAAAATCTATAAGCGCACAAGGGACGTCAAGGAGAAAGTCAGGAAACTTGCTTATGAGGTAATTTTATTTGACAGAGTAATAAGTAAGGAAAGTTAACAAATAATAATTATCATTCATAATCAAAAACGCACATTGTCTAAATTAGAATCTAACTGACCCTAAATGTTTAAACATTAGTATGCATTACATACCGTAAGTTTATATATTTCCCACAGGTACTTGCAGAGAAAGTGCATATTCGAGCTTTGAGCATTGCTCAGAGAGTAAGTCTGTTACATGAAGGCCTCAGTGACTCTTCAGGTAAGAAAATGGATTGTTAATTAAGCTGTCAATATATATATATATACAACTGTATGAAATTTCCATAACATGTTTGCAGACAAGTCAGTAAATCATGTTTTTCTCTCAGATTCAGTGAAGGAGGTTGTCAGGGCCCATTTGCTGCCTGCTTGGCTTCGCTTGCTCCAAGGAGATGTTTTGCAGTTGCTTCACAGACTAGATGTAGAGAACTGTGCAGACACTGCAGTGACTGCCTTGCATGCCATCTTTTCAATGGCAACAAGCCCTGATGACCTTATGCAAAATGGTGTCAGGTTGGATGAAAGGTCAGTTGCTTTAATCAAAACACTGAAACCAGGATATTTCAGTCACTGCAGCAGAATTCAGTCCACCAATATAATTTTTTTTTTTGTAGACAAAACCTATAAAAAAATGCTTTTTTAAACTGATTATTTACAAGTTTATTTTAAAATGTTAAACTAGCTACACATGCTGTTGTTACTATTATCATTATCATTCTTATTCTTTATTATATTGAGTTGGTGCCAGTATATTTGTCTTATGCAGGTTTAATTCTGTCTCTGTACAGGAAACTGATTCCTGTCAACTCCCTCACATGTGAAAATGTGTTGTACTGGAGAGCACTGTGTGAATTTGTCAAGAGTAAGGGAAATGAGGGTGAAGAATTACTGGAGCAGTTACTCCCCGAGGCAGCAATCTATGCTGAGTATCTATACAGGTGAATGTGCCCTACGCTTATGTTTACTGTCTTGCTTTTAAATGGATAATAAACTAATATTCAGCTTAACAAGAGCCTTTTTGTTTCAGTTTTCTAAAGAGCATTACTCAGCTGTCTGAGGCGCAAAGAGCTGATATGACACAGCTTGAGATGGTGATGACCCAAGAGTTTGTTGGGCAGCAGTTGATTCTGCTTGTTGGATGTCTGGACACTTCCGAGGAAGGCGGCAGGTCTGATTTATCAATATATCTGAGGCTGGTTGCATAAACTGGAGACATTTAGCTGTGATAATTCAGCAGAGGCTTTTTTTGAGCAGAGTTGCAGTTATCTAAATTTAGTTGCATGAATCTGTAATGTAGAGGTGCAAGTGGACGTAAATCTTTTGTTGCTCATTGTAGAAAAAATGTTTGTGTTCAACATTCAATTCTTTAGGGTTTGATCATTTTATTTTCTGAAGACAATATTGATATTTAATTAATTGCATCTAAAGGTAAAATGTTTTAACCTTCTCAACTACTGTTTAGGAAGCGCATGGTAGCAGTGCTGCAGGAGATACTTGTGATGCCCAACACACCTGTTTCTCTGATTGGTCTGCTAGTGGAGAAACTTGTCAACATTTTGCGAGATGATGCCCAGAAAATTCAGATGGTGAGTCCTTGTTGAACAACATATTACTTCTGAAAAATCTTCTGTTTGTGAAAGAATGAGGTTTAATCAGTATATTTCTTTGAGATTGACCATGTAGTTTTTCTTGAATGTGCCGACATATTCAAAATTGACCCTAATTGGGTGCTAAAAAGCTGAATAAATAGTTTTTCATGCTTAAAATAAGTTTAATCATTGGCTGACAAATAAATGTAATTGGTTGACTGTGCTATATTTTCTTCAGGTTGCTGAAATAATCTCTGATGTGAGGGAGCCTATTTTCCCCATCTCTGAGCCAGTGGATGAGAATGAGAAACGCAGAAAACAAGTCAGAGTGAGTTATATTTATAAATCACTGGTGCCTAATGTCATAAATCGATTGCATTCATCTTGATTTAAAAATGTTTTTTGGTAGCTGGCTGAGGTGCGAGTACAGATAATGGAGGCCAAACAGACTCTAGAAGACTGCATCAGCTGTCAGGACTTTAGCCGTGCAGCTGAGCTGAAAGACTCCATCTCTCAACTGGAGGAGCTCAAGAACCAGCTTACCCTGGAGGTTTCACAGCCAGCTGAAAATGTCAAGGAACAGCGTATAGAGAAGGTACAAAATTTACAAGCACATACGTGCATGTGTGTATATGTAGGTACATTAATTTCATCAACTACATTTTTAATTGAGTAATATTTAAACTAATGGCAACAGTTAATTACATTTCTGAATGGTCATGCAGTGCTGAAGACTAGCTTTTACCTTTGTCACAATGGGAGTAAAGTACATAACAAAAAAAATTGATGTTTTAATAAGTGTTTATAATTTTCATAACTGTTTTTGATCAAATAAATGTAGTTTAGGTAAGAAAAAGGGGCTTTCTAAACATTCAAAATGTATATAACCGGTCCCAAATGCTTAAACATCAGTTTATAAACAGGGAATTTTCCTCCAGCAAATATCTGGTTAATTAACTGATTTGTTAATTGGTTGAATTATTTTGTTTTTATTTTTGTGGATGGGAGTGTTGAGTTAAATGATTTGCTTGTTTCTATGAGGATGAGGTAATTAACGTTTAAGCACTAACATTGCTTGTTTCATAAATCAACATTATAAGATGTGTGTCTTCCACAGAGTGATCCTGAGACCTTGTTGAAATGTCTGACAATGTGTGCCGAGTTGTTCAAGCAAATGAGCATAAAGAGAGGAGTCTGCCCTACCATGATTGCTCTGATAGAATCATTGGTACAATACTCATACATAAATACACTCACATAAACATAAAATCTGCTTTTCTCATTTGTGTAACTCTCAAAATAATCTGTTCAGTGCTTAACTGCTTAAAGAGCATCAAATATAGCTTCAAAGTGATCTCTTATTTTTAGATACTGCCAAGTGTTTCCAACCCTAATCCTGCTGTGCGCAACATGGCTGTCATATGTTTGGGAACTGCTGCTCTCCACAGTAAAGACCTTGCCAACACACACCTTGTGCTGCTCTTGCAGGTATTTTTATGCTTTAAAAACACTGAATTCGTTTTTTTTTTTTTGTTGTTGATGAATAAGAGGTAAAATTTTATTGTTTTATTTATTTTAGATTACACAGCTGGATGAGCCTAAAATCAGAATCAGCGCCCTTCGATCTCTTATTGACCAGCTCCTGCTCAATGGTCTTGATATTCTACAAGACAAGCCTGTTCCTCCTACCTCCCAGACACCCGACTCTCCAGACATCAGTGACCGACAACCAGAAAAACAAGCAGAGGAGGAGAGCCCTGTGCAGAGCATTCTGAAGATGCTCTCAGAATTCCTTGATAGTGAGGTACTGCATACATTACATGACATTTTGTTAAAGGCACACTGTTGGAACTAAGGACATAATCTGACATTTCCTGCCTAAACCCAACAAACAGCTCAAATGGAACTAATTACTGTAAATCTATTGTAATAGATTGATGTAACAAGAATAAAAAAAAAAAGTTTTGTAATTCCGCAAAAATGGAATAATAGAGAGCGTGAAATACCAGTGGCTGTTGTCTTGTCTTTACCATTGATGTAAAGACCAGAATGACTTTTTGAAGAAGAAAAAAATGTAGGAAAGGACTTGACATTTGCCCATCAGAAGTTGACGGGCTTGTCTTCTTGTAATAGTTGTTTGAATATAGCCAATAAACTGGTGTGTTTAAACAATACACATTTTATTATATTAATATAATAAATATAAGTTTACTATAGTTTGTGAGGTATTGCAAAAACGATCCATTTTACAAATTGCAAAATTAACAAAAATATTTTTTTTCTTGTTTTTTTTTCTCTCTATTTTCGTTTAAAATTTGTAAATTTTTATATTAACTTGGGTGTACTATTTTAGGATCATTTCCATGATCTTTAGTTAGTTTTGTTACATTAGCTCTAGTTTTGGCTTTGGTACTGACTAATTTAATGTGTGTAGTCATTTATTCTGGCCACGGTTCATATAATACATACTTGTGATATTTATTTTTTAAAATATTTCCCAAGCAATTTTTAACAAAGGAAAGTTGTACCCTATCTCCTATTATGTTTTCTACTAAAGAAAGTCTTCCTTGTTTTATTTTGGCTGGATTAAAACAGTTTTTAAAAATTATTATTGGTCCCCTTCAGAAATTTATTTATTCGATTGGCTAGTGTTTGAGCCATGTCTATCAACAGAACCGTGCAGATATATGAGCAATGTGCTGACTTATCAGTTCATTAATATGGCTTTCAAACGCTCCCACAACCAATTGCATTTGACACTGCCCTGAATGCAATTCAATGTCAAATGCTCAATTCAATCTATATTAAATATCAGAAATGTTGAAAAATGATATCACCATTATTAAAATGTTCTATCGCGATATATAAATTGATATTTACTGTTCAATGAATGTGTATCTATTTTTGGATGTTTCATTCAGCACTTGTATGCCCAGCTTTGCATAGGTGTATGCTTTATTGAGAAAGATGTCCTTGTGAGCATGTTAACTCTACACTACAAATTGCTGTGAAGATTATTAAAATAACTGTTATGGCTTTCTAATGTTACAACAATGAGTCAGTGTAGAGCTTTATTTTACAATTCATTAATATGGAAAGTCCTGTAGCCGATTGGCTAGCATTTTGACAATTTGCCCTAAATGTTCTGCAAATGCTGCATTAAATAATATTAACTGATATTTTTCAGGTCTGCGAGCTTCGCACAGAGACAGCAGAGGGTCTGGCCAAGCTGATGTATTGTGGAAGAATCTTAAGCCCAAAGCTGTTGTCCCGCCTGGTGTTACTGTGGTACAATCCTGTAACTGAGGATGACCAAAGACTGCGCCATTGTCTGGGAGTTTTCTTACAACTGTATGCTCGAGCAAGCAGGTATGCATCTGGTCAGGTACTTTTGAACAGAAATATGATGGCAAATTCAAATGCCAAAATGAATTGAGTGCACTGGTAATGTTTACTTGCTAGGTCAAGTGAACTGCGAGAAGATAACAGACCTACACACGCGGAAACTGGTGGCCGTTCGTGTATTATATAAAAATGGACTTTTATTTAACATTCATTTAATCTATCTAAAAAATGTTATTTTGTAAGTGACGTTTAAAGTAGTGGTTCTAGATTTCATCAGTGTGTGTGTGTGTGTGTCCCACAAAAGATGAAATCTTAGAACCACCCCTGTAAACAGATTAAAATCAAAAATTGTTTACGTATTGTATTTTATATACTTTAAGTCTCATTGATTCAATGACTTTCTTCATAAAGACTTCATGTTTCAATAATTTTTAAAGAATATTATAGTGACAGACATTTAGATGGGTGTTTGTCGACACCTATTGGCACAAAAATTTAATTCCTACATCTTCATTTGAATAGCTACTCAGTATGTATGGCAATATACATTACATTTCCCTTCAGAGGCACAAAAATACCAATTCTCTAAGTACACCTCATGGCCACATCTTATAGGACACATATATAGTGGAGTAGCAGAATAATGGCAATATATTTATGTATTTTGTGCATTTAATGCATGTATAGCTTATTTTGAATAACAATATTTATTGAAAATATATAGAAAATTAATCAGAAATTTTTTTTTGATAAATTTGATCACATTTAGGTTGAGCACAGTTTAGGCGTAGCTGCTAAACTTAATCAAAGCATTCAAAAAAGTGATAGCTGGTGACATTATGCTATTAGTATACAACACCTATTATTAGCTGTTTGTTTTCAACACAGACAATCAACGAAATACAACTGTCAAAGGCAGCGCATCTGTAAAAAGTAAATCTATTTGGACTATAGCTTGGCATAACTCACTGTCCCTTTAGTCAAAAATAATACATTTTGTGTGAGCAGAGAGATGGGGATCTCACCAGTGCGCTCGATTCTTTTTGCCATCATACAGAAATCCTGAAAGTAGTTTAAAGTTCAGCCACAAATAAAATTCTGCTATTTACTTTTCTTCAGGTCCCAAACCCACAGTAATTTTTATTTGAGTAAAGTATAGGTTTTGTTAATAATGAGACCTGAAACCCCATTTCCACTTGGTAATAACATGCATTTTCAGTCATCCAATTACAAGTCGTCATCCCAGATGCATTTTTTTTAAATCTAGTATTATTATGCATTCAAGTGAGGCACGACCACTTCTGTTTAGATTTCTGAGACTTTTATTGTTTTCGTGAGCAAAAAGGCAAGCAAATGCAATATATTATTACATTGTTGTGTTTTGGTACATAAGTGAAGTATAGATATTTTGTTTTGATGTGCTTTCTCCAAATATGTCCCATAACCATCACATGTTAGGTCAGTTGGCATAAAGTATGTTGTCTGTACAAATGCACATTATCAAGTGAAATTATGTGTGACAATTTTTTTTTATACTAATATAATGTGAGCGCACTAAAGGAGACTTGGTTTGGCGATTCTGGATCCTACTGGAAAAATACAAATTCTTAATTTTTTTTTCTTTCGTTTGCTCCAGCATGGCATTGACCACACTTAAACTGACAGACAACAATTAAAGTAGTATGCAGATAGTTTATTGCGGAAGAGACAAGATTTTGTAAAACAAACGCAACTACATCATATTATTCATGTGAAACTATCAAACGCTATCAAAACTGCCATTTCGTCAAGTTTAGTAGTTTGCTAACCATTAACAAAGTGATAACATTCATGAAGTCTAAAATTCATAATCATTTATATAAAATATTTGAATTTCACTCGTACACAAATTTTTGTTAATGAACAATACAGCAACATTTTACTGCTTCTATATGTGTTATGGGGTTTGGTCTAGGAAAATGTTTCAATTGATTTCTTTTTGCTTTAACATCAATGTACATGTATAGAGCATCTAAAAAACGTAATATTTGAGTAAACTAACCCAATAATGTTACTGGCATTTAAATAAAATGCATTGTTGTAAGTGCACAGCAAGATATTTACAGTTTCTCCTGAAATTGTTGTACACTAGAGCAAATCAAGAGTGTGTGGAGGAGAGTTTCCTACCAACCATGAGAACACTGTTCAATGCTCCTGTGACCTCTCCGTTGTCTGAGGTGGACGCGTCCAATGTGGCTGAATTGTTTGTTGAACTAACACGACCCAGTGCTCTCGTGCAACCTGCGGTTGTACAGGTACAGTGAAACTTGCATGTACACTTACAAAAGTTTCAGTAGTGCCTCTGTTTGAAGCACTTGAATCTGTTAATATATCATCTAAGTGATCAAACATCTCTTTTGCAGGCTGTGTCAGTTCATGATTCGCTGGCGTTGCGTGTTTGTAATGAGATCTTGAGAGATGTTTCTGCTCCTGAAGTGCGCCTCTACTGCAAAACTCTCAGCTGGCTGGAGATTAACACTGAACCTGGACCTGCCAACAATGAACTGCAGCTCCTGTTAAAAGACATATTACAGGTACTGCCATGTCTTTTGTAAAAGTGCATAAAAGAAAAGATTGTCAGATTAAGGCAGAAACACTTGACAATGAAATGGGCTGTCAAATTTGATTGGCATTAAAGGGCACCTATTTTAACCCTTTTACAAGATGTAAGATGAGGCTTTGGTTTCTCCAGAATGTGTCTGTCAAGTTTCTCCTCAAAATACCCATCAGATCATTTATTATAGCATTCACAATACCCCCATTTTGGTGTCCGAGTACAGTGTAGTCTTTTTAAGGTGCATTTACACTAGGCTATCCGAACTCTGCCCGGGTGCATTTCCAGAGTTGTTTGACGTGTAAGTGCTCTGAATCAGGCCCAGGCGAGATTCAGTTGGCAGTTTCTGGTGTTTAAATAAACACTTATTGTCATAGTTTATTAAAGATACAAACCCCCCACTGCATGTCAGCTGCCACCTTCAGCAGACTTCCTAATACCTGCAGCACAAAGACATTTATGAACATTTATTAGCATCAAAAGTGGTGGATCTGTTCGGCAGATTATTTGACTGTGTGCCTCTGCATATCAAACGACTTAAAATAATGAAAAAACGCTATAACTAAAGCAATCTACTGTGAGCAACAGCACTTTACTTCCCGTTAAACTGAACAGTCGCATCATCGATGACGTATGTGTGCTTCGGCTCGCAAGGTAAAGATGCAGTATGGGTGCAGGCCTAGGGGGACAAGTGTGCTTCAACACGGTTGACGGGGGGGTTTCTATAGGCAATAGGAACAATAAGAGGTTAAGGAGAGAAAAATAAAAACTATTTATTGCAATACTCATTTTGTTTTACTTAAAAGCCAAGAAAAGTACACTAGTTCCCAGTGTATTGTATAAAAACAATTTACACTGAAATCTCACAGCTGCTGGTAGCCCATGTACAAACTGGGGAACACATAAAATCCTACACTTTGAAAATAAACATTCATGTGAAGATAAATTGGCCATTTCAGATAAACATATTTGTACTTAAGTAAACATAAATAAACCATCTTAATTATCTCGGTGCTGAAAAAATGTGAGACTGTAGTCTGTAATGTGGATCTAGTGCTTTTATAAAATGACAAAAGCCCACATCTCCAATCACAAAAAACGGCTGCAAATCTTTAGCAATAAAAACCCTTTGTTATTTTTATGTGTCTCTCTGAACCAGTTGGGTATGTTTGCTTGAAAGATTCAGTAAGGTATTGTTTTTATTTGGAGGACTTTATTACCTTCTCTGCTATCCTGCCTTCAGACAGTGATATTGCTGGGTAATGGCGCTGCAGATGTGTAGTCATGGTTATACGTGTAAAACAATGCTTGCACAGTTATGTAGTGTTCACCGTTTTTCTTTTATTGGCATTTTACTTACCGGCAAAACCGAAATGTCCTCACACCGCAAATTTGAAAGAGGTCGGCGCTTTCTCATACTGTTGCCTCACTTCGCCAGCGCTTCCTTGTACTGTTGCTTCAGCCTCACTTCATCGCCGCTCGCAATGTTAAAGTGTGGAATGATGGTCAAGCGCCCCCTAACTTTAGAGCATAGTGATTTGATATTCCTCATCTTAGCTAATGGATTTAGAGGCGCACACAGTCAATTCAGGGAGATATGGAACGCACAAATTATTTAAATGCAAAACCGGAAAAACTGCAATTCACAAGCGCGTATTGAACTGTGGAGGTCGTACCGTACAGTTTAATATTATATTGAGAACCGTGGCATCCCTACTGTGGTGATTATAGCAGTTAAGAGTTACATAGCGATTTTACTGTCTTTATTACAAACATGATCTGTTGTAAACTTTAGAAGCTTTAAAAAAAACAAATCAGAGTTGGAACAGATAATTTAATACCAGTGTCCTTGCAAAAAGAAAACACAATAAGTCACACAATGTCATTACAAAGTACACACACACACGCACGCACGCGCGTATAGTTTTGCACCGCTTTTGCATGTCCGGGATTGAAGCGTCTTCTTTTATAATTGTACTGATGTGGCTGTGGTGCTGAAGTAAATCGCTGTAATTAATTAAACATGCACTGTTTTAAAACATTTTAAACTGGTAAAACTCACTCTTGATCACATTTGATGATCCTAGCAAACTGAACAGATCCTTTTTTCCTGGTTGCTTTGCACACGTCCTGTTTTGTTGATATGATTATATGGGTTACTACAGAGACATGTTAATACGCAGCTGTCAATCAATTTGGTTGGCGTAGAAACCGCACTCCTACATCAAGTTGCAGTTGGTCTGTAAACCGCTCCAATTGGTCCACCATTTTTGTTGTTAAATTGAAAAAACTGACTGGTTGTGTTTAAATCGCCCCAATATGATGGTATATACACTATATCTACACACATCTGTCCAAACAGCTTGAAAAGTAAATTTTTTTCAACATAGGTGCCCTTTAAAGCAAGTGATTGATTGTGTAGTGACTACCACATCTTTGTCTTGTGTTACAGGAAGTGAAAGATAAGTACTGCACAAGGGTTATTGAAAAGCTTTGCAACCAGCTAATCGGAGATCATGGTTCCAAATCAGCCAGTAACCAGGACACAGCTTTGCTTAACTTGGATGAAAACAATGGAGGTACTAGCAAGCATAATGTAGTTTTGCATCCAATTTTTGATGAGATTATTACGATTCAAATTAAGACTGGTTTAGAATTGCTTTAACTAGACTGAACATTCTTGCAGAGTTGATGAACAAGGATGAGACGAAACCTAAACGAGCAAAAAGAGGTCATTGGTTTTTTCTTTTTGTCTTATGTTTGTGTTGGGTTGACAGGCAAATGTTTGATATCGTTGTATTCAGCTTCCACTCTTTTTTTTGTCTTTTTACAGGCCAGAAAAAAGCTGCCACTGCAAAGAATGGAAAAAAATCTTATAAAGCAGACATGTCTTCTGATGAAAGGTTGGACTGCGCTACAATTTGACTTTTTTCTCAAGCTGAGATGCTAACTTTTTTGCAGGTGGTTTATTTTAATTGCGCTATTGCTAAAATATCTTTCTTTCTTTATATATATATATAGTGATGAAGAGAATATTCCTGAAGAGGCTCCATCAGTGCGACCAAGCCGACGTGCAAAAATTGCTGCTCTGGATAAAACCAAGCAGGATCTGACTGCCCTCATAAACCAGGAGGCCAATGGTTCATAAGAGTGGATTATTTGAGAGGGGCGTCTTTCAACCAATGATGTCCTCAGTTTTACCTGAGAAACTACTGGTGGATTTGAATACTAGCGTTCTCTCTCTTTAGTTTAAATACTGGTAAATATTGATGTATTCTAAGATTGTTGGTTAAAATGTGCCATCTGCAGTCCTTTTCATGTGTGTAGGAGGCATGCCAATTCATTTGCTTGTTTGAACCTGTAAACAAATGCACAAGGAAGTGGACTGAACTCACCCCCTTTTATAATTGGCTATTTTAAGAATGTTGGTCTGATTATGTGAATGTTCATACCTTTATATAATTAATATGTGAGAGCTGATAAAGAAGCTAACTCCTGTTTCAATTGAACTTTTGTATGCTTTTAACTGAAATAAAACAAAATCTGTTCACAAGAGCTTTTATTGTTTTAATGATTGAGACAGCATCTTTGAAGGCAAGTATAAAAAACACAGAGAAAACACAATACATGTACATAAGTTATACGATTATGTACAACTTGTAGCACCAGGTAACAAATATACAGTGGCCAAAAAAAACAATATACAGAAGACCTAACAGGTCTTATAACAAGCTTCAACTCCAGCTGTCGGTTGGCATAGGTGTACAGGCAAAATGTACCTTTCCTTTTCTTTTTTTTTTTGTAGCCTTGTCTGTTTGACACAGTAGTACTTCGAATGGTTGTGACCCTAAAAGCACTAGTTGGGATTGCTGAGGTTTGTGCAGACATTCATGTTGGCACTGCCACTGGTTATGTAAAGGGTATAACTGAAAAGCATTTAGCAGCCTGGCCTACCAGTTAGAGAGTTGGACTTGTGTTCCTAAAGGTCAGTGGTTCAGTTCCTGGCAAAGGTTTTAGGTGAGGGGGTAATGAATAACCGGCACTCTTTTCCTCCCACGATTGAAGTTGAGTCCCCACTAAACCCGCAGCTGCTCCAGGTGTAAGACACTCCACAGTGTTAAGAGTGAGTGAATGTCTAAAAATGCTAAAATGTTTAATTTCTGCCGTTTTAGAACAAACACTAGCTGACATTCCCCAGACACAAAGGTTTAAATCCAGTAGAACATATATAATGTCAAAGACCAATTTCTCAAAGCTTAGATTATCAATCTGACTACATTTTAAATGGCACAGATGCAAGCCAGTCTTGTTAAAAGGAACCTAAATTCATTTTGGTGACCAACAGAAGCTAAAGTAGCAGTAGGACTAACAACAAATGTTAAATAAATAACTAAACATGGCCTAAATCAAGGACAAGGTCACAACAATACATAATCATTTCAGGCTGAACTACCATGACTTACCAGTACAGTTTAGGAGGTAGGTGTCATACTGCAAGATCACAATTTAAGATTTTCACAAGGTATGCTTTTCTTCCCCAAGAAACGATATGTGGAGCACATTTGCTTCAGGATAATCTTAAAAGCTTTTAATTTAAGAGAAAGTAAAATAGACTTTTACATCTTTCTAAAAGTAAAACATTGCACTAAAATACACTGTACGTTACAACTTTTGTTGTAGTTAGAAATAAAATGAAATGAGAAGCAGGAGGGGTTTGGTAGTGCAATAAGAACAAGGATGTAGATTAATGCTTAAATGATTTCCCACAAAACAGTCAAACAATCTAAATTCCAGTCAAATATTTCTGTAAAGTAATGATAATAATAAAGTGACTGAACTTAAAGTAAAAACACTACACTCACTTTCAAATTTAAAAGTTCTATTTGAATGGGCAGTTTTTGTCTTAGTGGCAACATTTATAGCACATAAGACTCCTATCAAACATTGGCAAATCTAAAAATAAGATCATTTGTATCCTTTAAAAATGTAAATGTGAAAAAAGTTGTCTTCAGAAAGTTTTAAAATCACAGGCTGACACCCAGACAACATACTGCTCATGTAACCTTTCATACTCCTTCATGCAAACAGATCTTCTGGTCTGCACCAAAAATAAAGCCAAGTAAAAAAATGAAACGTTTTACAAATAAAATATTTAAATAGTGCAACAAGTGTCAAATGAATTTTTACGTTGTTTTTGCTACACGACGCTTGCTGAGGTTGTGTGTCGTAATGCTTTTGATACTCAGCCAGACCACTGTTGAAAGGCACCTTGTGTTAAGAGTTCAAGAAAATGTCTTGCCCGAAACTGGTCCCAAGTTACTTTAATGATCCTGTAAAACACAAAACAGAGACACTTATATTTGATTGCAGCCTACAATATTTACAACACAACACAAACAAAGTTAAACAACACAAAGTTAAATCTATACAAAAGATAAAATAATCGTAACTGATATTATGAATCAAACATTCTTTATAGCAAGTGTCACCAATCTCATTCCTGGAGGTCCGGTGCCCGGCAGGGTTTAGCTCCAACTTGTCTCATCACACCTGCCTGGGTGTTTCAAGTGCAACTAGTAAGACCTTGATTAGCTTGTTCTGGTGTTTTTGATTAGGGATGGAGCTAAAATCTGCAGAACACCGGATCTCCAGGAAAACGTTTGGTGATCCCGGCTTTATAGAGACCAGAAACATACTTTAAGCCCATTTGCAGACGAGTTATTAAAACACATTCCGGTTGAACACACTTGAGTTACGTTACACTTTCTAGCAGACCTCAGAAGTTTAGGGGTAGTTGACCAAAAACAAATAAAAAAAGTTTGCTGTACTATTTAAAATAGTAAAAACAAAACAGCAAAAATAAATAAATGAAGCCATGCACACCAAGCGATTTATAATAAGACATCAAAGAGAAGTCAAACCAGGGGTTTTCAAACTGTGGGGCGCACCAGCATCTATTAAGGGGGCGTGCACTTGAGTAAATTATGACAGTTTTTGTGTGCTCACTAGAGTAATTCCGATTAACCTTAGCTCCACATATAACTATCAGGCACATATAAAGTTCATGCGTTCCAGTAAAATATATGCAAATAAAATGGAGCGGGTGCTTTTTAAAATGAATGACGGTGAATGAAAGTCAAACCGGTGAGCGTCTAACAAAAAAGTGCACTTCTGCATCAAATCAGCAGAATGCCCTTCTGGATCTTTCACTATCTTTGAAGACACACTGACTATGTTCACATAGATATCAGTAATGTAGTTATTTGCCTTAATAGACAATAATATAATTAAGGTGTTTACTTGAAGTGCTTTTATGTAAGAGTTTCCTGTAATTTTGGGGGACTTTAACTACAGTTGGGCACACTGCACAAAAAGATTTTCTTACTTAGATTTTTTTTGTCTTGTTTTTAGTCCAAATATCTAAATGGTCTCAAATCAAGAAGCATTTTCTAGACAAGCAAAACATATTGTCTTGTTTTAAGAAATAATATGCCAAAATGAAGTGAGTTTTTTCTTAATCAAGCAAAATAATCTGCCAATGGGGTAAGCAAAATAATCTTATCACAAATCGAACGACAAGATTATTTTGCTTGGGGGTGTCCTAAAAGTTTGAAAACCCCTGGTCTAAACATAGAGGGCTTGGCTTAACCAAATGTAATTTTGGGTTATCAGTGGAAAATCTAAGGATCCAGAGAGGATCAAATAAATAAATGAGTTTATCTAACTGACAGGGCATCAACAAACTGCCGCAAGAAAACCGTTCCAGATATGATTTTCTTCATTATTTGTAGTGCTGATGAGCTTTTATTTTGATGATAAGTGTATGTATGTATATATATATATATATATATATATATATATATATATAAGGGTGTAACAATACGCGTATTTGTATTGAAGCGTTTGGTACGAGACTTTCGGTTCGGTAAGCATTGCAAACCGAACGATTCAGACTAAAATAAAAAAAGACAAAAAAGAGAATAAATACAAAAAAGCCCGCAATGCTTGCCCCGCCTTCAAGCTCTTCTTATTGGCCCACTGCGATAGAACAGAACGCAAATGGATTGATTAATATCAGCTGTCAATCACTCAGTTCCAATGACAGGGTGCCACAGCCTATGAAAATGTAAAGATCTGGATCCGAGAAAATAAAAATAACACTGAAAGATTCAGCTTTAGAAACCAGCTAGAGTTACAACTAATGGCACATCTGATTAGTGATGTACATGTGCTGAATGTCAATCCACCATTCACACTTTTCAAAGAGTGCATAAAAGATTTCCATTGTTTAAAGTCTGCTATGACTAAAGCATTGACCGTAAAGCCGGTGGGACGGAGTTTTCAGGTAGTGTTTGCCTCATCTACACATTTTAAGCACGAGACGTTGTAACGTTATTTAATCCTTCATTTAATTGTCACGATGCATGATGCACGAGCATGCATTCACTGAGATGAAACTAATATTGCAGCTCATGCAAAGACAGTTATTGCTATTAAGTTGACTTATGCAAATAATATGTTATAATATCATCTGTGTAATATCAGACACCACCCGAAAAGTATAGGTCATGATTATTGTTAATTCGGTTAATTACATTCACGTCAAGAGGTGTGTGCAGGGCCGGTGAGAGCATGCAGATTTTTTATTTGATAGTTGTGATTAGAGTGTTAATATATAATAGAAATCTGTTAATGTAGAAACGGTGCTCATAATTCTTGGTGGGTGCGCCTAAATTTTTGAAGTTAGGAGAACCGGTGCTACCAAGAAAAAAAGGTTCATTTTGAGCCATTAATCGGTAGTGGTAGTTTGGGTTTTAAGAAAATGTTAATTGTAATAGAGCCCCGTTACATTATTGCTTCATAAGTTTCAGTCAGATAATTCGTGCTTTCAGATCCACTAAAATGGCAGGTGACATTCAAATAAAGCAGATCTGTGATGTCTGAAGAAAAGGTGGACACTCATATCTGAAAATAAAAAATTACTTAAAAATTTATTAAAACTAAGTTCCATATAAAAACTTAAATTATAAAAAAAAAGAACAATTTAATTACTACAATATTACATTTATTTTTATACACAAAAAGAGAGAGAGAGAGAGATCAATGGGAATCAGGCACCCTTGTCCTAAATACCTAGAATGCATTGCGTTTGTTGCGACACATTCCCGTTCTCTATTTTGGATTGTGAAAGCAAAATTCTCCTACCAGAGTGATTATGTACTATAGTTGTGGCAGGTACTATTTGTCCAGTTAGTAAAAAAAAAACTTGTGTTGCATTTGGGATGACTTTGTCGTGATGCTTGAAATTGGGCTCGTGTAGCAAGCTCAAAACATCTGCATTTGCATAAAGTATGTTTCAGGCATAGTGAGAGGTATATTCTATAAAGATGACTTACCGAGCACAAAGTCACACCACCTTGCTCCCAGAACACCCCTGCAGCTTCTTGATTGTCTGAGCATTTTTGTTGAAGGAGAGGGATTTTTTAGTTTCCCTTTTTTTCTTCCTACTTTTCTCGGGCTTTTCGAGGACAAGGGTAGCTGTACTGGAGAGTTGTGTGTCCCATTCACCGTAATATCCTCACTCTCCTCATGCTCTGAGACATCATAAAGCTTTACGGTGCAAACATTACATTCCTCTGTCGTTGACTTGGTGTTTGGAGAGTTGATCTTTTTCAGAAACACTCTGCACTCTTTTAGCGACTCTGGACTCCAAGCTTCGGAGCTGATTCTATTTTGCTTTGAAATGTTGGAAAGCCCAATCATTTTTGGAGGAGTTTTGACTAAAAGCTTTAATGCATTTTGAACTTTCATGACTGGTTTGGATGGCTTGTCTACCAACTTAGGCATTTCTTTCGGTAACTTTAGAGTCTTAGCACCTGAAGTCCTCATTTGGTCACAAACTTCATCTCGTAATGCTATCTTATGCCTGGTTTTAAATTTTTGTCTTGCTCTAATCAGAGCTTTTCGGTAGTCAACCCATATGCCTCTAGACATTGAAATATTCTGTTTAAATGATGATGATGTGTCAAAGAGCTTTCTCTTTGCTATTGGCCTTGCGGACTTGGACAACATTTCTTGTGCTTTTTTGTGCATTGATGGACTCTTTGGAACGATTTTAGCAAATTTTTTTACATGTTTCCTGAGTCGCTCTGCTTGTGGACTTGGGCAAGCATTAACTTTGCAATTGGGTCTGCTGAGGCTGTAATGAAAGACATCCTTGGGATTCCTTGCAATGGCCTTCTTTACAATTGCTAGGGACTGAGTTTCCGTGGACTGCATAAACCAAGAGCAGAGCTTCTCCATATTATAATTTTTCTCAAAAAGCATTTTAATGGCAGAAGTAGACTTCTTGGGAGCATCAAGAAGCTCCTTACAAGTTTTTGGTTTAAGATCCGGTTTGATCTCTCCTGACTGGTTTGCCTCAAGGACATCTGATACCCAAGTATTGGACATCAGCTTGATCCTCCTAGCTAACTCTTCATTCAAGGTCTCAGGTGATGCTGATGTGGGCCACCACCTGAAACCCTCATGTGGTGAGAAAATGGAGTTGACTGAAATAGCGGAAAAACGAACAATGTCTTGTACACTACTGACATTCTTGGTCTTAATGGAAAGTGCATTGTTTGGGGGTTCCTCTTTTATGTTCTTTACATGCTGGCTTGCCTCGCAGCTAGCCTTATTCAGCAGTAGTTTTCTCGACCTGCGAACCAATGCGCAGGATCTGGCAGTAGCAACAGAGTGAAGCAAATGAATCGAGGGTTTCCGTTCTCTAACAGAATGTCTCACTGGTATGAGCTGCCTTCTAGTATTCGGATTATATTCTTTCTGCGCATCCACTCTATCTTTGTTAATGTCAGTAGGAATGCAGATCGTCTTCTGCTCTTTGGAAGGTTGAAGTTCAAGAGTCCTTCTGAGCAGATGTGAATCTTTTGTGTCTCTTTTTAAATGTATCTTTCTTTGTCTTGGTGACCCTGATGTGACTGTGACAGAAATGCCAGAAATCTTTTGGACTTTTGGAGGTCGCCCTGGTTTTCTTGACAATATAATGTCGCTCTGTCGTTGACATTTGATGTTACTGCTAGAGTGGAGACATTTCCTGTCCTCTATAGGCATAACAAGATGTAGATCTTTAAACTGATCTTTGGTTGTTTGATCATTAGTACTTGTTTTACTGTACATGCAACCATTGTATTCTTCATAAGCAGGTTGCTGTGTTAAGAAACTACCCAGATCTTCAGAAACTACTCTCCTCACTCTTCTTGATCTTCCATACAATATAGTGATTTTCAATTTTTTGTTATCATCCTCTTTAGAATATATTTCATGTGTTCCCTGATTGACTGCATTTGAACTGGGTGTACTTGAACTTAAGTCTGTTGTTTTAGGTTTTGGAGGTCTCCCAATGGGACGTTTCACAGACTTCACAATTTGTGGTCCAATTTTTTTGGGACGCCCAGGCCGCCTTTTTATTGGAGTTGTTTGATGTATAAATGGTAGTGGTTCTTGGCTTTCACTTGAAAAACTGGACAATGGAGAACCAGCTGAAACCATATTTGGCAAAGTGCACTTGTTCTCAACATGCTCAACAGTTTTGCTTGGATTAGATTCAAAGACTGAATCCTGGTTATTGTCGTCTATGGCACTGCCTGCCCATGATGATTCCACACATGGATCAAACATCTCACAATGTGATTCTGAGCCAGAGGCAGCTGCTTTGAGTGTGTATTTTATTCCATCGTCACCTTTCACAGAGGAAACAAACATGAGCTTTATTGGACTGTCATATTTCAGTCTAGACGGGCTTGCTTCAGCCTGTGATGTGCTCTCAGTGGTAGTAAAGTTAGATATAGTAGGACTGTGTGGTTCAGTGTTCAGACTGTTGGCTCTGCTACATTTAGATCTCTTTGATAGCAAGGTAGAATTTTGGAATGATTTCCTTTTTCTCTCCTTATGAGGACTTCTTTCATTATTCTTGCACTCACTAAGGGGCTCTTTTTTTGATAAATTGTCATGTTTCGGTAAACTATTGTTCTGTGGTACTCCACAGTCTTCTTGTTCATGCTCCATCTTGCCACATTTATCACTAGGCAAGAAAATTTCTTCTGTGGATCCTAGCGCTGTTAAGGTGCCATCTCTAGAGGAATGCTTTGTGAATATACTTTCTGAAAAACAGGCTGCAAAATACATCTTTCGTGGCTCAGTAACATAAGAAGAGAAACGCTGAGGTGGAACAATATTTCTTCTGGTTCTTTCAACTTGAACAGCCAGACATTTTTCTTTATGGATTTTTGCCTTCATCTTCTGGTCACTATCTGTGTTTTGTGGCTGTGCTCTTTCATTAGGAGGCAGTTGTTCTTTAACAACATGCTGGATGTGAGTTTCTTGGTTATATTCTATCTTTTCTTTTTCTGCATGTGTGGTCATATGTCCAGTGTTCAAGTTATCATTTACAGGTTCTGTGTACACTGTCCTGTTCAACTTTCTGCACTGAGGTTGTTCAATAAGCGAGTATGTTAGCTCCAAAGGTTTAACCCTTTTTGTGCCTCTATTCCAATCCAATCTTGTATTTCTCTTGGAAAATGCCGGACTAAGTCTAGCCAGGTCTCTTTTGATTTGTAAGCTCTGTCTTCGTGATGATGGAAGGTCAGATGATTTGCTCATGGCAACTAAAGTTTCAAATCTCTTACGGGAACGTGTTTGAGGTGATCGCTGTTCTGTGGCTACATGCTGTTGTAAAAGATCATTAAGGTTATAATCTTTATCACTACTGTTATGCAACACAGTTGTTATAATCTCGGTCAAATGTGTGTCGTCTCTTATCCTGGAGATTTGACTGGCATGTGCAGGAATGTTTTGTTCCTTCTCAGAGGGTTGGATACTCTTGAGCTGTTCAGTGACTCTGTCCATAAGATCTCCTATAAAAGATCCACATTGGTGGTCATCTTTCTCTGCTTGTGTTTGCAATGTTACAACCTTTTCACAACATCCATCAGAAGATCCCACATGAAGAGGAGTGCTGGAGCATAAAGTTGTTTCTTTATTCTCGCTTCTGTGAGGTAGGAGAGAGGGAGGTGCTATGTTCGGGGCCTTGAATTCCTGAATGGGAAAGATACTGGGCTTGACTGCTATTTTATAATCCAGGTCAACAGGTTTTGGCGAGAGTGGTGGTGGAGAGGGGCTACGGCTTCCTTTATGTCTGTTCTGAGAGTTACTATCACCTGGAGGAATGATTAGAGAACCCCTTGCATGAGAAATGTAGGTATGATCACCATTGTGTTGATGCTGGCATGAGAGTGGTTTTGAACTAGTACAACAATCACTGGGGTTACAACAGATGGCTTGACCAACACATGCAATTGCTGTATTTTGGCAGGAATGGCCATGAACGTTCCTCAGAGAGACACATGGAGGAGAAAATGCACATGTTGGATGCTCACAAGCTGTTCTGCAACAAATGCCAGCAGTTACTGAGCAGTCACCTAATGCAAGTGTCGGGGCTTCATTAAGCAGTTTTTTATGAAGATGGCAACAAAGGGATCCAGCCTGTTTTCCATGAGCATCCCTTAGAGATAATGAGATGTTGTAATCTTCCTGTACATCCTTTAAAATATGAGTGAGTAGTAATCTATGACGGGAACAAAGTGAAGACAGGACCTTCTCCAACACAGTGATTTTCCCGACCTCAGGAACTATAGAACCATCTTCAGTCTCCAGACTGGACTTGTCTTCCACACTTGATCCTAAGGAACTACATAAATAAACTGGGTTAAGTCATTACTTGAAACAATCAGCTCTTCAAAATTGAGCTGAGCTACCACCTCACCATTTCTCCCTAAATGTAAGCAAAAAACAAAATACAACAACTCCATACATGGAACTATTTTTTATTGGTAACTTGAAGGCAAAGGATGGCGATTGTAGTAACGCTTACACTCAGGAAAACTAAAGGTACAGAATTATTATTTTAATCAAACCTGAATAATTTTGTTTCCTGATTAATCAACATGTCTTGACAAAAACCAAATCACAAATATTTCCAGGCAATATGCTGACTTAAAATTAAAAGAAATTCCCAAAGTCTCCCAAGTTCCATATTTTTAAATACCACATAGCTAAAAACACACTGGATAAATATGCCTTCAGTATTCCATCTTATTACAATTAATTTAATTTTTTCTTTTAACATTACCCTATTCCTTAAATGTAAAAAATTAAAAAAAAGACCACACCAAATATAAATATTTCAGACACAAATAAATGTTTGAAAAAAGGGACTGATTAGCTTTCTTTAGTTGTTTTCTTGCATTTTAAGTTGATTAAAAAGTCATAAAGAATAACATATTAACTTGCCTGGGGTAAATTAATTACATGTGGAGGAACATTACAAGACAAGGAACTCACTTATGCATGCAAGTGCAGTAAAGCATTTCACATATCAATGTGCAAGAGCAACAAAGTGCTTAAACACAAAACCAACACAACATTTAAACTTCATTTTCTGATTACATTAAAGAAATAACAGAAATACAACTACATTACAGAACAAGGGAATAGTACATAAATAAATCAACCTTAGTGCAACGAATATATGCATAAATAACTGATTGCAAAATGATTCATATCCTGCATCCGTCATGACAATGAAATTATACATACTTAGAAAGGCCTAAACTGGTGATATTTATCCATCTTAATGATCCATATATAAATCAAGCCAAACTGTAAAATGTTATGTTTTTCTTGTGAACCAGACCAGCCCTGAACACATGCTGGTCTCAAAATATGAAAGAAAACATGTTTGCTTTGAATCAACCATATTTGGCTCTCTAACTAAATTCTAAGGGCCTTATTTTGATATAAAAAGTTCAAATCATGCTATTTGTATTTATAAGACTGCTATTAACCTGAGAATACTATGTTTTTACATGTAAAAAGTTTTTTGGACTGAAATTACATAGGACACTAATATTATGATGCTAGAAGAGCATTGAAATAAAAGCGAATAACATTCTCCAAAGTGAGCCTATGAGTATCCCATGTAATATAAGTACAAGAGTGCAGCACTGACCATGTATATGATTTAAAAAGAAATGTGCATGGTATTAATGCTTACATGACCACCGTTTAAATTAAAAGTGAAACTGTGCCTGTGACAGCTATCCCCGAGATAAAAACTGAAAAAAAGAGAAGTTGCATTGGAAATCAAATTAAAATTATACAGATTTTATACAAGATCCACACAAGTAGTACATAAATACCTGATTTTTTTTCTTCCAGAAGATTTCATTTGTAAAATTGCTACTGGCCTGCAGAACGACTGAGCAGTAGCTATAAGAGCAGGCACTGTGTTGTTAATTTTAAGAGCTATAAGCAACATTCAGGGTGATTTGATAAATGCTTCTAAGCAGTTAAATTTAGGAATAAATAAGTAAATCTGTTTGTTTTAGTGTGGAGGGAAATTTCACCTTTGAGAAACAACAAGAGGTAAGCCATTAAAGAACATTCACAACACAAATCAACATTAAAATTGCATATGGAAATGTTTACGTTTCCAAAGCTGTAAATCACAAAATTCACATATTGCTTCAGCTACACTTTGCAAAGCATTACAATTATACTTGTGAATGAGATAACAGAACTATTCTAAAGAGAGATGTCAGTCAAGGAAGAAAATGGCTATATCCTTCATCACCTGCATCACAAATATATGTGCATATTTTGTAAAGTGCAACTGAATCTTGCAAGCTTCTAAACTGAGAAATAGAAACGGGTACATGCTATAAAGGAGTTGAATTACAAGTGTCATAAAATAAAACAGGTCATTAAAAGCTATAGTAATTAGTATTCATTGACAAAAGAACAACAACAACAACAACAACAAAGCAAGAGCAGCAAAACCACAGAAACCTAAACAAAACGAAGCAGTTCAGAGCAGCACTTGAATCAGGCTTAATATCTGCCCCATGATAAGTGCATCATGGAATATGGACAAGAAACATTCTGATCCAAATCAGCTGCACCCTACTCTGAACTGCTTTGCTCATGGAGTGTGTCAATGGAGTGGCAAAATGACCCTCAACTGTTCAGTTACAGTGGAAAGATAATGCAAGGATGTCTTTAGTGTGAGGAACAACAAAACTGTACACAGAGTAGTTCTAAATCAGCAAAGAAAATATGGAGATTTTTCAGTAGTTCAGATAATATTAACAATAATACAAAATAAATATTAATATAGTACTGAGTGTAAAACAAACATTTACTGAGACTGCTGTCGAGCATTTCCCCTATGCATTATTACGACATGCATTACACTGCATTTCCAAGTTAGCCCATATGATCTGTTGAGATTAGCAGAGCTAAAATTTAAAAGGGGCCAGACAAAAACAAAACAGTGTGTACAGAATTAGGCATATATGAACAAAAATAAATTAAAAATTCCTAATCGGTAAAAATGTGGCAAGTATCATCCACAAAAAGCCTGAGCTGGTCCAAGCTTTCACTCCAAGGATCTGGCAACAGTCCTGATTTCATTAATACTTTATGAAACTGATATTATTAACCTTGTTATACAACAACAACAAAAATAGTCATAAGCATTAACAGTCTTTAAAAACATATTTACAGTGTTGTTCCTTTGCTGGAGTGGAAACTTGTACCTATATCTACTCGCTGCATAAAGGATGAGCATTTCCCACTGGGGATTTAAACTAATTACAGTCATGCTGTCACCAGGTCGCCACACAGACACCATAAAATACTGTAGCTAGACTTGAAATGAAATGATCAGTCACTACACAGACTAATCACTGTGAAAGCTGCATACAACAATCATTAAGCTGAGTTTAGCTTATGTATGAACAAAACCTGAATATTTCTTAGTTTTAAACTGTAATTAACTTAAAAATCAACAGTGCTTCACAATATTTTAAATATATATATATTCATATAGATATCCACAGTGAATAACCCCTGAATAGATTTTTAAAGGCATGTTTTGTGACTTGAAAAAAAGGTACCATTTAATCTGTGGTTGAGGATTCAAGTGTATCTTTCAAGTCTAAATGAGGTCCTGACTGCAAGTTAGAAAAAAAAAAAAAAAAAGAGATAACTTCTGTTGGCTGTAGTATAGGCGATGTTTTAGTTAAAACCCTCTCTAGAAAATAGCTGAAGTTTTGGTTTGAGTTAAGACTGTTTGTAGGCAGTAGATGAGGCATTGGTTGTTGTCCCTGACTTTCCGGAGCCTGAAGCTGCAGCTTCAGAAAGGCGGAGCTTCTTTTTTGGTGGGGTCTTGAGCATGCCGGTTCGCTCTTTGACCTTGTACTCAAGGGTGCTGTGTGGAACCCCATAGACGCCCTGAGCTTTCGACACACTCATCTTTCCACCAATCACCATGGCTATTGCCTCTTCTAGGATATCATGGTCATATTGGCGATAGCGCCCCCTCTTTTTCCTTGGCTGCTTGTCTCGACGATCATCATCTCCACAGTCAACCAGACTTCCGGTCACGCTCCCGCCAACACTCCCATTTTTTATGTTCAGACACAGTGGAGGCAAATCACCCTGCAGCAGACGTGACTCAAGGCCTGAGTGGCTTTTAACCAAGCCCTGTTTAGGGAGAATAGTCTTCAACTTGTGGAAAGCAGTGGGGCCTTCAGAGGCTTTGTTGGTCTGGTACACAGCATCCACTAGGCCAACTAGATCCAGCTGGGCTTTGGGTTGAGCACTGAAGCGTACCTGAGGGATTCGAATGTGTGCAACCGGCCCTGAAGCAGGACTGTGAGGAGATGTGGCTGGCTCTGCAGTGACAAGTGACCCGTCGCTCTGTTCCCGTAGCTGTGAGACCATCCTCTGCAAGGTTAAGTGGTGAAGGTATGACGAGGCAGTCACGGCTGCCGGGAACTTCAGCTCTGTGTGCTCTGGTGATGTAAATTTTAATTTTCTTACTTCAGATTGCTCAGACTGCGAGCGAGCCCATGCTGCTACCTTCTGTAGGACAAGTCGTGTGTCACTGGTGGGCCACACTGCCTCTGTGCTCCTGCCGTTCTCACGTGGTTCTCCTGCCCTCCTCTCTGGTAATAAGGCCTCTGTCTGAAGCTGTAAGGTTTTCTGAGGTATCCCGTAAAGTATGGCTGCTTTGTTTATGTCCAGTGATCCAGACCGAATATCTTTCAAGGCTTTCGAGAGTAAGCCCTCTGCAAACTCAGAGCTGCGATCCAAATAGTCCTCACTGATTGGTCTCCTAAGGGGAGGTGGGTGGGAGGATGAGAAACGAACGGGTGAGTGGACCAATGACAGGACGCCCTCAGGGTCCACTCCTTTACTGCCTTGTCTTTTGGTAACATCACTCGCTTCTCAATTGTCTGCATAACACAAAGCCTTTGAGTTGTTTGGGGGTAAACAGTGATTGTTTTTGGCCTTAGGTTGCAAACGATACTTCTTGGAAGGACAGTCTCTTGTCAATTGTGTGAAGAAAGACAAGCATCTATGGGAGTACTTCCAGTATCTTTGCAATGCAGATGCATTTTGTAAAACTCATGTATTTATGTCTCATGAAAATAATACTGCATAAATCAATTAATAGATAAATAAACAAATGAATAAATAACGGTAGCACAAAGGAACAAGTAAAGCCCCTGACTGCTGGCAAATGTGACGTTACCTTCCAACAAGTTAGAAAAGAGTCAACCCTTTGGCAGTGCAACAAAACAACCACTAATTCAAGTTTGAGGAGTACATTTTGTTCACACAACATCATCAGATAATCAAATAACATAGAACTGAAACGAAGACAAAATTATTACATTTTACTGATTCAAAAAAGAGAGAAAAGAAATCACCAGTTAAAACACACGGAACTAACCTCTCCTTTGGTTTTAAGACTAAATACAAACACAAAAACACTCAATTTAATAAGCATAACAGATAAGGCAGAAGTACTTACCCTGAACTTATCTGTAGTGTCGTTTCATTCTCAGAAGGTGTGTTTTTCTTAGAGAGGTCAAGTACTCCATCTACTGTAAAAAAAAAAAAACAATATCAAGTTTTAATTAATGCTTATATATTATAACAACTAATGGAGTGTACATTATGTTTATTCAGAGTTGGCTGACTTTCAGAGTTAGATATAATGAATCAAAATGTAACATTTGTTTCTCTGGAAACTACAACAAAAAAGAATTTCTAGACCTTTTTCTTGGAACGCAAAACTACCCATTATGCTTTGCATGTATGCGCAAGGAGAATGCGAAGAACTTCCAGTCGGCAGCTGATGCGTGTAAACAGTCACATTTGGACAGCTTTGAAACGATAGTTTTAATCTATTTTACTTGCTTTTATCCTCTTTGAACTAATACTGTTGTCCATCAGCACCATCTCCTGGACTGATCATTTAAAGAAATGCGATCTAATAGGATGGAAAACAGCTGCTGTGAGACATTTTCCACTCGTTTTCAGACGGCATTTTCTGCAGTTTAAATGAAGCCTTGTCATTGCTAAAGTCAACATTTCCTCTTTATTTCAAATATATAACCAGCCCAAACAAATGTAATTCACCATTCGCCATTGACACACTGATTTAATAACTGTGACAAAGTGAAAATATAGGCTAGTGTCATTTCGAAATGACAGAAAAACACAAACCGTGGTAAAAACAACACACAAAATAAAACACAAACGGCTCGCGATTAGAATGAACAACAAAATAGCCAGCAGAGTATAAATAACAGACTTTTATTGGTCATTTTTGTAAATTGCACGACTTTCATACCTGTTAATTTTCATGCCAGTACTCTGGTTAGCTCTCTCTCTCTATCTGTGGTGTGTGTGTGTGTGTGTGTGTGTGTTAGCCGCTGAGCTAACAGCTGACAGGCCGGGAACCCACACACACACTATTTCTGACGGCAGACACGTGACCTAGGAGAAATGTTTTTCTCGTATTTCTGATGCGCTTGAACCACGTGACAGATTATAACGGCTTTAACAGACACATTTCTAAGTTTTGTGTCACAAAAACACTCTGTTATCCATTAAAAACGTAATTGAAACCCATTTTCAGAGCGCAAATTACCAGTTGTACACGCTGTAAACTGAAGTTTTAAGCAATCTACCGGAAGACGCTGGTCGCTATGGTGCCCTCCATGCAGCAGCCATGAAAAAGGTCTATACAGAGCTACAAACTATTGAATCTTTATCCACAATGTAGTGTGCCGATCTTCTAAAATAATCTGGTTTCCTCTAAAGTAATGGTGATTTGTTGTGGTGCATACCTTGAAGGGCTGGAGAAGCTCTGCTGACAGTGAGGTCCAGAGGCCCATCAGGATCTGGTTGGCTAAGGAGACGTTCAGAATTGTCACTCAGGCCATTCAGGTCTCCATGAGTCTGACTTTTACATGCATACTCTAAGGCAAATCGCCGAATCATTCTGCGCATCAACTCCTGTGCAACCAGTGGTATACTTGAATCGCAGCTCTGAGGAAATTCTGAAAAATGAAACACCACAGAATCAGTTTAAGTTTTCATCCTGTGTACTTAGAGTAAAAATTTATAATTCATGGCTTTAACGTGAGTTTTAACAGATTTTCTGGATTTAGAGCTGATAAACGTAATTACTTGCTATCAAACACAAGATTATGTACACATTTCTATACAATGTTTTATGAATATTACAAAATATGATTTAACAAAACCATTTTGCTCAAAATCAACCTTTAGAATGCATGTAAATGAGATTATAAAGCTAACTGTATTGTTAGGACTTATAAAATCAGTAGTCTGACATCCAGGAGTTCTTTAGTCCTCCAGTTGTGTTCACTCAACTCGAGTCCCAATATCTATATAGAACAATCTTTCATGTGTACAAAAAGGCAATGGGCAGCATGATCATGCAAGTTGTACAACTGACCACATGAATTTATTCATTTTACTCTTTGACTACATTTTACATTAAAGACGAACAGGCTGCAATGTGAAGTTAGCATTGTTAAAAGTTGTAACAGTTCACTGCAGGAACAGCAATGTCAGCTAACAAAGTAAACAGTGTAATTTCACTACCCAAATCTAAACATTACTTGCAACTTGACAGTTAAATATTTCACTACAGTAGAATTGTTCTGTAAAGCAGTGGCTCACAGTTACAATGTCCAGTACTGCACATTTTCTATGTCTCCTTTGCCTGAGGTCCCGTCCACACGAACATGGGTATTTTCAAACCTGCAGCTTTTTATACACCGTTTTTAAGTGCAGTATTGGGTCACTAAAACCAAAACTTTGAAAACTTTTATCAGGATGAAGATAGTTAAAGGGTCACAAAACCCTAAAACACATTTTTTTAAATGATAACAGTCATCTATATGTGCCATACTGCTTAAAAAACACAATTAGTACACAGTTCACTAACAAGTGGAATTTGGTTGTTTTGGCATTGTTTAGAGGAAATTTGTTTATCCACTTTAAAAACAAATTTTAAATCAACATTATGATGATGAGGCCATTGTGTAAATTCCAGCATGGTGATTGGTCGGCATCAGCAGTCACACTTTTTTTAATTAATTTATTTATTGACTTGACCACAGCCTTTTTATTCATTATTTTACTGCAGCTCTACACTTTTTATATATTTTCTCGCCGCTCAGTGAGCAAGATGCAGCCTGCAGGTTAATGATGATATAACTTAGATGTAATGAATGGCTTTATGTAATGAATAGGTGTTGTGGTTCAGTGGATAGCACGTTAGTTTATGACGCCGCAGACCCGGGTTCGATTCTCGTCTGAGTAATGTTTTTTTTTAATTATATATACATATAATACTGTTTATATATACATATAATACTGTTAAGGTTGTTGAACATTTGAAATTCTAAAGCAGCTGTTTTCTCAAAAAAAGACGTGATTTAGAGTGTCATTAGAAACTGATTTGGAAATGACCTTATTTTAAGATAGTCAGTCGTGAACTGAGGTGGGCCGGTCTGAGGCTTGAAACTCCAGGGCTGAAATGGAGTCCCACTCCGGCCCTGATTTTAAGTGTGCCAAAACAAAAGTGTTGTTTCCATTTCCCCACGATGGGAGCACCCCATGGGTAGGTGCAAGCAGTTGTCTTACTGATAACACACTCGGAAACTTTGTTCTTTAGAAACATTTTTTACCAGAGATTTCTGTCTCTGCAAATGTGGTGTGTGATTAATATTTTTGTTTATGTATATTCAAATGAAAAGTTAGTTAGTATCGTCAACAGTCCTCTTTCAGTTTTTGAAGACATACCTCGGCTCTTTCATGCATTACCTCTAAATACTCCAGCTGACTGACTGTGTGAGTTTTTTTTTAGTTTTTTTTTTATAGTAACCATTATTTATAACACTTCTCTTACATTTCCTATACAATTCCTTTAAGATTGTTAGGCAACACAGCCCCAGTGACCCTCGCTTATATTGTTTTTTGTTTCTTTTTTACCCTGTTCTGCAAATATTGACAAAAGTCAGAATTAGATTGTGAAATATTTAATATTACGATTTCCAAAAATGTGTAAGAACACGTATTTGGTCTTAAAAACATTTTTTGATACATGATGACTGATGGAACATGTTTAGCCTACGCTGAATAGAAGATCAGACAGAGCTGCTGGATTTACATGTGTATTCATCATTTTCTTCCAAACGACATGAAAGTGACTACTTAAGCGGGAGAGTAGCGTACATGTTACAGTAAAATATACTAGAAGTAATAGTTCTAGCAAAAATATACTATATACTATACTATATACTAAGAGTCATAGTGTGTAGCAAACTGTCCAGTTATATTTAAAAAATAAATAATAATGCCATCTCTGACATCTGTGTGTATTTTACAAACCTTTAATGTTATATTTTGATAGTAGTTATGTCTTTGAATTATTGAAAACATTGATTAATTGTGATTTATGATAAGCAGCATAATCCTCTTTCTGTGCCTCAGCACGTGCCATCAGATTTGAATATGAGCAGTTAATGACGTGCTCTCTAATATTTTAATAACACTGGTGTGATCGAGTGAAAAGGTTAGTCAAAATTGATGAAGTTACAAAGTTTACAGTAGTATAACTACAATATTCAAATAGCAAAATTATATAGTATCGTCAACAATCACTTCCACACAGCCCTCAGATTCACTGTAAATGCTGCTCTACTGTACAACTCCCCAGCGCCTGTGTTGACAGTGTACAAATTATTATTTTTTTTTTATGCACATAATGAAAGTCTTTTTATGCAAACCCTTCCCTCTTTACCCACTCCACATTCCCACCTAAACAAAGGTGCACTCCCACCTAAACAAAAAACAGATTTCTATCTTTTCTGTTGGAGATACTGTTGCCCTAAAAAACAAACTAAAAAAATACAAATAAAAAAAAATAAAATTTTACATATGCCTTAGGAACGGTATCACAGAAAATTTTGGCAGTTTTAAAACCTTGACTTTTCCAAACCGTGGTATACTTTGAACATTGTTATCCTGTCATGCCTAGTCCACCCTAGCGTTTCACCCAGTATTTCTGAACAACTCTCCGTCTACTTTACACCTCTTATGGCCCATTTCCACTGAGTGGTACGGTAGAGTATGGTTCGGTTTGGTACGGTTTTATAGCCATTTCCACTGTCAAAAGGCGTACCGAACCAAACCGTACCGTGCCGTACCACTTTTTCGGCACCCTTTCGAAAGGGTTCCAAACACAAGAAAACGTACCAAAAGGCGGAGCTAGATGCGCAGCTGAATGCTATTGGTTTACAGAGATACGTCATTCGCTTGCGCAACAAGCCAGAATGTAAACAAAGGACCTGCCATGTTTGAAATACACAGCGAGAGATTACTTGCGCTCGCCGCGCGTCTATATTTGAAATAACTAACTTTTTGAGCTGATGATAATAACGTGCACATGACAAGCTTTGGAAACCGAATCCTGTGAGAAGCTGACAAACATGAGTGGTCACATGATGTGCGTTTTCAGCAGTATAGTGTAAATGGAGATCTTTTCTGAAACGCTAGGTGAAACGCCAGTGTGGACATGGATCATTTTCATTCTAAAATGCAATTTTATGAATAAAATGTATTAGTGTAAACGGGGCCTAAAAGTGCTGGGGGTCTGTGTAGTTGGCAAAACCAGAGCGTTTGTTCCTGCCATAATTTGCTTTGTGTGATGACAGATTTTGTGCCACAATCTCAATTGTTTTCAAGATGCGCATCTGTGCAATGGCTTGGTGAAAATTTGAGAGGAAGAAAAATCATATTCTTTCAGGACCATGAGTCTCTGTTGATGGGCTGAATTATGCGTGTAAAATTAAACTGTGCAGTATAAAGGAGCTGCAGAAAAGTGGCTGTGAGTCACTGCTTTACAGAACAACTTTACTACATCCTTTTGAATGCCAATAAAGAAATTGTTTTGCAGCCCATTGCATGACCTTCCAGCTGAGAGTAAACGACTGATGTAGATCAGTAGAACTATAAGCAATAGCTGTCACAATGAACTCACTTCCTATGAACACAGAAAAAAACATGTCTCACCCTTTTTGCGAAATATAGCATAGAGGAATCGGTCTGCTTGGCACTGGACTTTATCAGAGGTGGACAGGCCCTGAGGTGGGGGGGTTTCAGCAGGGGGTGGCGACCCGGGCACAGCAGGATGCTCCTATGTGACAACAAGTGTGAAAAACTGTTAAAACTAGGGGTTACTCAAGTTGTGATCTATTAAAATCATTTAAAAATTATTTGCTTTCAATTTGTTTACCCATATATTACAAATAAAAAGACATTCACAAAAATTGTAAAGAGTTCTATTCTAATGTCAATGCAAGCCTTTTTAAGGAACAGTCCAGTATTTGCACATTTTCTTTGATGTTAAACTGTGCATTACGTGTTAAACCAAGTATTCACACCAAAGGCGGCAAGAGCGTTAACTGGGAGCCAGCGGTGATAAGCTGCGCAGCTATATATTATATATATACATATATATATATTTTTTTTAAAGCTGAACTATAATGACAGTACAGACCAGTATTGCTGCTTCAGAATATTTCAGACATATGGACATTGAATTAGTGAAGCAAAGCCTCACCACACACAATAACCTAAACTTCCATTGTAAAATGAATTTGCTAAAAGGTGCACAACATTTTCACACTAGAAAGCACATTTTGTTAGGCTTCATTTAAGTGATTGGCTGATATGTTGCAACGGCCCCTTTAAATACGAGATCAATATAGCTGTGAGGACAGACAGCGTTCTCTGAGGTGGCTAGAGAAAACTTTGCGCTTTTGATGGTGGCAGTGTGAACGCACAGTAAAATTACTTACATTCAGTTTCTCTAACTGCAGATTGCAAAAGGAGCAGTTTGCATCAATGGACCAATCATCCAAATCCTCTGGTTCACACTCTGAGGGAGAAGCAGTGTCAATCAGCTATAATTCTCAACTATGCTATGAGAAACAAAAGGGGTACAAAAGAATAGATCCAACACATACAAGCACAACTCACCATCAAATATATTGAGGTCTTGCAGCAGTCTTGGTCCATATATTCCCTCCAGTATACTTTCAAATCCTGCAAACAAGCAATTATCATTTCATCTGTACCAAATCTCAAAAAGAAAACAATGTCATAGAAATGATACATAATGGTAAAAACATTCACATTTTAGGCCTACCCATATATTACGAATAAAAGGCCTTTTCTTTCAACCTACAAAGACAAATTACAATATACTAAACTGACATTCTAACCATAAACATAATATTACTCTAGCAAACTGCTTCAATTTTATTTAACAGCTTGCTTTGAACCCTGTTACTGTATGATCAGACCATACAGACTAGTGTTTAATATTATGTTCCTAAAGGCCTGCACACAAGTAATTGCCATGTAGAATGTACTTTTTACTGAAATGTTTCAAGTGTATAGTAACAGTTTTACATAAACCCGAGTTATTTAATGTTCAGTTTATGCTATAAACACAAGTAGATTTATGCTGACCACTGTATATTCGACCAAACCACTGTTAACACCACTGTTTAACCGCATTCTCAAAGAGTAACAACTACCCGCTTTAAAACCACACGAAGAACGTCCATTATTTCAGTAAACAAGCATTCTCCAAAAACTGCCGTACTTTTACTTTTGATGCTCTCATCAAGAACCAGTGGGTAATATGGAAATCTACTGTATAATTCACACAACAGATTCAAAGCCGATGTTCTATTATTACAAAACAATCACACGGTCATCTGTACATCGGCATTCAACGCAGAAAGGGTCAGTGAGTGCAAAGCTAACCCGGTTATCGAGGAATCAAGAAGTAACTAGGGACAAAGAAAATGGAGCCGTCAGAGCCCGCTTGGTCTTTGGCCGTTTTTTATTAGCAACAAAAGCTAGACAGGACTCCCGCGGACGACGGCTTTACGCTTATGTTATTTTTGAACTTGACAGAAGCTCGCTTAGCCACTCCGCAGGCTAACAGCGGCTGGGGGAGGGAGCTCCGCGAGACCCAAGCAAGAAAGAAACCGTGCGCAACACGGAGTGCAATACACCGGAGTGCAATACATCCGTTAACGGAGCTATGCAACTTTGGCTTTCCCGAACAAGGCAATTTTAATCTTACCGACACACTGAATGAGCTTGTGTCGCCATGAGTCGAGTTCCCGCCGGAATCCTTTTCTTTCGGCCGTGCATTTGGAGCTCCGGCACTGGGTCGCCGCCATTCTGTCCGTCCACCTTCCCCCCGGCTCTAACCGTGACGTCACTGTACGTCATCCAAATGACGGTTCCGATTGATTGACAAGTGTCAGAACGGGCATGGGGCGGGCCTTAGAGATGTAAACAACATTTCCCCCAATCCGGAAATCTCATTTATTCAGAATATCTGATGGATAAACGTATCGTATAGTGCCAAAAGTATGCTGTTGAAAGAATGCTCTTAATGCTGCTTTAGTCGAGCTAACAAAGCTCGGTAGCTACATGGTGAACTGAATGCACCTCGAATACTTCTTTCACCTGTGAAGGTTTAAGTTGATGTTTTTCAGCTGTCATCCAGGAAATCAAATTGTTCTTAACAATTCTTAATTGTTCTTAAATTACATAATTCAGAAGGTCCATGCTTTATTTTCACACCCTGTATGAATTTGTCATCATTGCTTGGAGTTTTTTCCAACTGCTTACACACTACCCAGCTAACATAAGACCAGCGGGCCACTGGCGGCCCGCCGGCAGCAAAGTCGGCGGTCCACCGTCAATTTACTCATCGTTATTCCAGCGGCCCACCATCGGCTCCCGCCGCTTTTCCGACGGTGGTCCGCCATCGGACCGCTGGTTTTAAATAAGTGTCTGCTGGCGGCCCGCGGTCGGTCCACATGTCATTTTTAAATATTATATTAGCCTTTACAATTGTATTCAATATAAATATGTCCAATAATGAAATCGAGTACAAAATACTTAATCATTATAACATTTATTTATAATACTGCATAACGAACATACATTAAACACTTAATGAAATGTTTCAAAAACACATACGTTAACAAATACAACAAAATAAATATAAAATACATATAAAATACATACAAATATAATATAACAACATACATACAACAGTTACATTTTACAGTAGTTTTATAAGTAATGTTAATGGTTTAAATATGAACTAATATGAACAATACCTGTACAGCATAATTTATGTACAGGATTTACTAATGCATTAATAAAATCAGTCATGCTTGTTAACATTAGTAAATACATTGCGAGTTAACATGAATAAACAATTAACAACTTTTTACCATTTACCAACATTAGCAAAGATGAATAAATACTGTAATAAATGTATTGTTTATTATGTTAGTAAATACATTAACTAATACATACAACCTTATTGTAAAGTGGTAGCCATTCAACAATGAGTTTTCTATAATAAAGACAAACTTTGAGACTTCTCATTATAAAAATAAACTATTAAAAAAATTGTATTATTTATATTTTAACATTATTATAATTATTTATTATAATATTATATTAAATTATAACATTCTCATGACATTTAAAGTTATTATAAATAACATAAAAATAAATTACATTGCGAATAAATATTAACATATTACAATAAATCTAAACGTGCATTATTTTTACAAAATCAAACTGTAAAACATCTGGAGGTTATTAATAACTACACTGGGGCAGCACAGTGGCTCAGACTGTCACCTCACAGCAAAAAGGTTGCTGGTATGAGTCCCGGCTGGGTCCGCTGGCATTTCTGTGTGGAGTTAACACTTGTGCTATAGGTGAATTTGAACATAGTGTAGAAGTGTCTGTGAATACGAGAGTGTAAGGTGTTTTTACAGTGCTGGGTTGCAGCTGGAAGGCTGTGTAAAACATATGCCAAAGTAATATCCAGTTCCTTACGCTGTGGCGACCCCTGATATTAAGCTGAAGGAAAATGCAGGTTCTTTTGTCTGCCCCCTCATGATTAGCAGATCCTAATAAAAATGTCTTTGAGGCTCCCTTCCACTGTCTCTCTTGTAGCAGGCTTCTTTCTTATCCTGAAATAACAGAATCATCAGTCATTATTTTTGTCCATCATCAGTAACTAGATCATTATTGACATTAATGTTTGTATTTTTTATTGTCTTTTTATTGGACATCAAGACTGCATTGATTTGATCGATAACATTAATTTACAGTTTAAAAGTAACACTGAAATATTTTTACAGTTTAAAATAATGATTTTTAATTTCAATACATTGTAAATGGTCCATTTGATTATTAATAGACTGTCTGCTTAATATCTGTTGATTCTGCTCCTTCAACAGACATTAACTGACCCTAACCCTAACCCTTAATTTACCAAGTACATGTCAACTTACACCAACCCTAACCGCAACCCTAACCGTCTACTTATAATCTAATGAGAATTAGATGGCATGTAGATGCAATGCAGCTTAAATTCAACAAACAGACCATCAAAATAAAATGTGACCATGTATTTTATTAATGTGAGGTCAAAGCTGATTTGTTAGCATCATTACTTTAGTGTCAGATGATCCTTCAGAAATCATTCTAATAGGCTATTTTGTTTGATGCAGTTGATATTAATATTAACATTAATAAAATTAATCACTGGGAACACTTTTAAGTGACACTATAATATTACTTACCTTGAATGAAGTCTGGCAAGGAAAAACAAAGTGGTAGAGTGAGTGGAGGACAATCCAAAATCTAGAAAGAAGTAATAATATATATATATATATATATATATATATATATATATATATATATATATATATATATATATATATATATATATATATATATATATATATATATATATATATATATATATATATATATATATATATATATATTACTAACACATTTTAAGAAATGGATACTTGTATTAAACAAGGGTGCATAAAACAGATCAGAAGAGAGTTACGATTTCTGATTCAAATACTTTTCAATTTAAACTTTCTATTCAACAATGAATCCTGAAATAACAAAACATGATAAAAATAATAAATCTTGCTTGATCAGCAGCAAATTATGAATACAATATTACATTTTGGACTGGAGCACTGACGCTGTAAATTCAGCTTTGAGAAAAGCAATGTAAAAAATTGTTTAAAACCACTCACTTATGTTTGGATGTCAAAACTAAAATAACTGCAATCAAGACATGTATCAGATGCATGATAATGTAGGGATTTCTTATAAAAATGCACATGAATCTATTTAACAGTTAATTATAGTCTTACCTGTGTTTCCTCCAGCTCTGTGATTAGCTCCCTTCATCTTGGCTCTTTTCTTCTGTTGAAGGGGTAATTTTGTCACTCCTGAAACCACAGAGCACTTTTTAAAATTAATATTAGCTTACATTAACTGTGAAATATCAAAGTAACACATATGTACTAACTTTAACATTTTAATTCGCTCTTGTTGACAGTGCAGTGCTTATTATAGGCTTAATAAAGTAGACTACCTCCAATAAAACATTGTCAAACCTCTCATCTACACATAAAATGTAATTAAAAGCCAACACTTTTATAAACAATAGCTAGCCTAATGCTAACGTTACCTCTGCTAAAACCCTAACGGACTTTTTCCAAAGACACAACAATCTCTATAAAAAACATGTTCAACAGAAATATGTCAATTACCAGTAAGAAAAGTGTCAGAAACAGTTATATGTAACATTTGCGTGATTTTAGCGACTAAACTTACCTGAAATTAGACTTTTAAACAGCTAAGGGACAGTCATTATGGCGACGGAGTATAGTTCTTCCGTTCCCCTCCTCGGGGAACGAAGGGTTACTTTAGTAACCTCGAACGTTCCCCTTCGGGGGGAACTCCAGCACTATAAGTGGATTGATGTACTAATCCACGTATGGGAGCCCATTGAAAGCGCCATAATGACCGCACCTTACCAACACCTATCATGAGAGAGCAGTCAGGCAAGCGTGACGCACCCAGATCATGAGAGGCGCGGTCCTCCAACGTGCCCTTGGCCCTAACTTATCCCACTTCAAAGAAGCTTTACGGAATAGGTATATTTTTTTGGGAGTCGCTAGCGTCTAGATAATTCTAGGAATATACGACAGTACGTTGGGAAGCGTGCCATCCCAGTAGGGAGGACGCTGCGGAGACCATCCGCACCCAATAGGGGAAACAAATGGAATTACATATGGACTAACCCTGAGAAGGGGGAGTGCGCATAAGAAGGTGGTTAGCGGATAGGGAAAGCACGGGTCCACCCATGGGGGGGGAACTTAACCTTGGCGGAAAAGCATATGGGGATCACCAGCGGGGATCGGCCATAGCAGGCACCTATACCCAAAACGCGGGCTGACCAGCGGGCAGATCTACAACGTAATGGGCCAGCAAGTGACTCCTCCGCTGAGTCAGTGCTGGGGGCCTCGGAGGAATCTGCAGGGCTCACCGAATGGGGAACTTTACTGACAGACAGGAGGGTGCACATCTCTCCGTGTTAGGGAAAAAAGGCACCGCAAGCGTGTTACAACACCTACCGAGTTGTTTCCTCAATCACCAAAGGTCCCTAACACCCTTGAGGAAACCGGCTCCACTCGCAGATTATAAAACCTTGCAAATGTGTTGGGTGTCGCCCAGCCCGCAGCTCTACAAATGTCTGTTAAAGAAGCGCCGCGCGCACACGCCCAAGAGGATGCAACGCTCCGAGTGGAGTGCGCACGCACTCCCGGGGGGCGCGGCTGACCTCTGCTCAAATAAGCACATGAAATGGCCTCTACAATCCAGTGCACTTCCGTCCGCCATAACAGACAAAGAGCTGCTCAGAAGATCTAAAGTTCTGAGTACGGTCCACATAAATGCGCAGGGCGCGAACTGGACAAAGTAAGGACAGGGCTGGGTCTGCCTCCTCCGGGGGCAGCGCTTGCAGGGTTACTACCTGATCTCTAAAGGGAGTGGTAGGAACTTTGGGCACATAACCCGGGCGGGGTCTCAGGATAACGTGAGAAAATCCGGCCCGAATTCCAGGCACGAGTCACTGACCGAAAATGCCTCCAGGTCCCCGACCCTCTTAATGGAGGCCAACGCGACCAGCAGAGCTGTCTTCAGGGACAGAAATCATAAAGATACTGTATCGAGTGGCTCGAAGGGATCAAATCGCAGGCTCGTGAGAACGAGGGCGAGATCCCAAGAGGGCGTGAGAGGGGGGCGAGTTGGATTAATTCGCCTAGCGCCTCTGAGGAACCGGATGATGAGGTTATGCTTTCCCACGGTGCCGCCAGTCACCGCGTCATGGTGAGCGGAAATGGCGGCAACGTACACCTTGAGAGTGGAGGGCGACAGCCTGCTGTCCACCTTCTCTTGAAGGAAGGAGAGCACAACACTGATCTGGCAAGATCGGGGGTCTTCTCTGCGAGAGACACACCATTCAGTAAATAGACTCCACTTCAGGGCGTAGGCGCGCCTCATGGAGGGGGCTCTAGCCTGAGTGATGGTATCAACTACCGCGGGCGGCAGGTTACCTAAGTCTTCCTCGCGTCTATGGACCACACGTGGAGGTTCCAGAGATCGGGGCGAGGGTGCCAGATGGTGCCTTGTCCCTGAGAAAGTAGGTCCTCTCTCAAAGGGATCTGCCATGGGAGGGCCGTTGCGAGGAGGGAGAGCTCTGATATCTAGGTCCGGTTGGGCCAGAGGGGCGCAACTAGCAGAACCTGCTCCTCGTCCTCCCTGACCTTGCACAGTAACTGCGCGATCAGGCTCACTGGGGGAAACGCATACTTGCGTATGCCCCGAGGCCAGCTGTGGGCCAGTGCATCCGTGCCGAGAGAGCCCTCGGTCAGGGAATAAAACAACTGGCAATGAGCGTACTCGGGGGAGCAACAGATCAATCTGGGTCTCCCCGAACCGCGCCCATATCAGCTGGACAGACTCGGGGTGGAGTCTCCATTCTCCAGAGTGAATCTGCTGCCGTGAGAGCACATCGGCTGCACGGTTGAGCATACCTGGGATGTGAATGGCGCGCAGCGACTACAGCCGCGGGTGACTCCAGAGGAGCAGACGGCGGGCGAGCTGAGACATGCGGCGAGAGCGCATACCCCCCAAACGGTTTATATACGCTGCTGCCGCCGTACTGTCCGTCCTCACCAGCACGTGTTGCTGCTCCAGCACCGGAGAAAAACGGCGGAGAGCAAGGAACACTGCCAACAGCTCTAGGCGATTGATATGCCAACGCAGCTGGGCACCTACCCACAGGCCCGCAGCTGCATGCCCGCGACACACGGCTCCCCAGCCTGTGCTGGAAGCATCTGTTGAGACAACAATATGACTGGACGCCTGTACCAGAGGCACACCGGCTTGCAGGAACGAGGGGTCGTTCCAGGGGCTGAGGGTGCGGCGACACAGCGGAAGCCATATGCCCCAGGAGCCTCTGAAAATATTTCAGTGGGACCACTAATTTGCTGTCGAGCTCCCTCAGACAGTTCAGCAGCAGGCGAGCGCGCTCTCCGAAGAGGCGCGCTACCATGGTGACCGAGTCCAGCTCCATTCCGAGAAAAGAGATCCTCTGCACTGGGGCGAGTTTGCTCTTTTCCCAGTTGACCTGCAACCCCAATAGGCGGAGATGCCGGAGCACCTCGTCTCTGTGCGCAGTCAATTGCTCCCGAGAGTGGGCTAAAATCAGCCAGTCGTCGAGATAATTGAGTACGCGGATGCCCGCGAGCCGCAGGGGCGCTAGGGCACCCTCCGCGAGTTTGGTGAAGACCCGCGAAGACAGAGAGAGCCCGAAGGGGAGGACCTTGTACTGCCATGCTCGACCTTCGAACGCAAACCACAGAAACTGACGGTGGCATGGAAGAATGGAGACATGAAAATATGCGTCCTTCAGGTCTATGGCTGCAAACCAATCCTGAGGACGAACACATCGGAGGATGCGCCTCTGCGTAAGCATTCTGAACGACAGCTTGTGAAGGCAGCGATTCAAAACGCGCAGATCTAGGATTGGCCGTGACCCACCGCTCTTTTTGGGTACGATGAAGTACGGGCTGTAAAACCCGCTCTTCATCTCGGCTGGAGGTACCAGCTCGATTGCACCCTTCGCCAAGAGGGCAGCAATCTCCTCTCGCAAGACAGGGGCGGACAGGGGCTATTGACCCTGGTGAAATACCCGCCCGTGAACTTGGGAGGCCGTTTCGAGAACTGAAGTTCGTAGCCGAGTCTGATCGTGCGTATGAGCCACCGCGAGGGGCTGGGCCGCGCTAACCAGGCAGGCAGAGCCCTCGCTAATGACGTCATCGCAGCAATCGCTGACGTACCCGCGGAGGGGCAGCGCGGAGCGGGTGTGCTGATCCGGGGAGCGCGAGGGTCCCACAGAAGAGCTGGAGGAGAGCGATTCGCTCTGGCTCCGCACTTGGGGGCTGGGAGAAGGGAGACCGTCCCCCCAGCACCCGTGAGTCGCTGGCGGAGCATGTAGACCCTGCGAGCTGAGAGGCGGCGCGTCCCAGACTGGCAGGGCTTGCAGTGCTCGTGAGCCACTGGCGAAGCGCACCGAACCTGCGAGCTAGAGAGCACAGTGTCTCAGACTGGCAGATTTCGGGCTGTCACATCCGGGGAAGTGAAAAAGTGCCCTTTCATTTCATGGCAGTACAAGGTGCCGTTGGAAATGGTGCCCCGCCCTCCAGCGAGGAAGAGCAAGTTCCCTCTTCTCCAGATGACCTGTCCCAGGGACGCTTCGCGGTCCGTTGCCGGACTTAGCGGCGTTCTGGGCAGGGGGAGCTGCCTGCTTCCGAGGTGCTCGACGCGCTCGCTTCGCCAGAGGCGTGTGCGGGGGCGGTGCAGCTCTCGTAGGCGGGCGCCTTCGCCGAGGAGCAGGTATGGATGGCACGGCGGGCGGAGCGGGCTACGGATCCGTTGATAAGACATCACCCATCAGACTGCTCTCTCACTGCCTCAAATTCCTGGGTGAATTCGCAGACAGTGTCGCCGACCAGCTTGGGATATGGGCGAGTCAAGAAAGCGGACTTTGTCGACTTTGCGCATACCAGCCAAGTTCTAGTCAGGGGTGGCGCTCCTGGATCACTAGTGTGGACATCGTCCTCCCCAAAGCACACGCAGCGGACTCAGTAGTCCTAAGAGCTTAGTCGGCTGCGGTGTGAAGTTCATAAGCCTGGGTTGGACCCACCCTCGTTCAGCTCGGCCAGCGCCTGCGCTTGGTAGCGCTGGTAGGTGGCTATCGCTTGCAAGGCGGAAGCAGCCTGGTCCGTAGCTTTGCAAGCTCTGACTCCGGGGAGCAGAAACTTACAGGCTTTGGATGGGAGACGAGGCAGACCCCACCAAGAAGAGGCGCCGCGCGG